GAGTCCAAAGAAATATTTTTTATATTGACTACAAGCTTTACACTGATAGATTTCTCCAGTAGATTTTGTACTCTTCAAATTCCTTGTTATCCTCAGCTCTTCCTATAGCAGCCATGTTTCTAAAGGTTTACCCCCACATCTCTGTAGAGCTCCTTTCGGGATGGATTTAGCAAAGCCCACACTTCCACAGTGAAGTTCACGGCCCCATCCAGAGGTCACTGCCTTCATTGCATGGCTTAAGGGGTCTTCTCAGGGTCTTTCCCATGCAGCACACAACCAGAAGTAGTCACCAGTGACCTGGGGTTCTCTCAGCAATGTGTTCAGGACACAAACCTTGGTGCCATAATTCCTCATAACTTTCAAAGGACATTACTTACCTCACAAATTGTATTTTCCCTGTGACTGGGAAGCTTAGACCTGGGCTCTTGGTACGACAGGAATTTTCCTTAAACGTGGGGAATCTTATTTAGAATCACTTATGTACATAAGTTTCAAACCTATGGTGCTCAACTTTGATGACACCAGGTCTGCACAATGCTTTGGTGACACAGGTTGACTACTGGCAGTTCAGAGGTAGGGGAGAAATCTTCCAAGGTTTTAAGCTGTCCTTGCATCTTGCCTTCTTTGTATTGGAAGCTTTGTCACCATGCACAGATATTTTTCCTTAGGGCTCCTTCACTGGGGTTTTTTATAAAGTCCAAGACTCTGTTCATTAGAAGCCTGCCATTCCTCTTTCCTCAGATTTACTTCAGAGGTCCATTCATCAAGTACAGAATGCAGAGGAGAAGCTGAAACTGAGCTCACTTGCCAGACAGCCCCTGGTCCACAACTGTTCCAAATTCTTTTTCTAATCATTTCATATTCCACTACATGGCATCTGTTTTTGCTATGGACCCAGATGAACTCACGAGTTTCCCAAGCATAGCTATGTGTTCACCATCTCCAAAGTCTTTGTCCTTGTGAACCTGTCACAGAAGAAGATCTATAAAGCACAGTGGTCACTTCTTTGAGCTACAAATGACAAAGAAGTTTCTAAGTTTCTAAAATGTAAATGGTCAATCTGAGTTGTTCTGGCAACTAAAATCCCCATTTGTGTTGATTAGAAACACAATGGATCCAGATTGACTAGGACCTAGGCAACTCACCCCTGCCAACTCTGGCACAAAAGTTGTGGAGTTTTTACCCATGATGTTAGTCTTTTACTTTGCATGCTATTTCCATTCCATTTAAAGATGCTTCTAAGCACTGCTGGCTGAGCCTTCCCCTTGGTGTTCCAGAAGACATCAGGCTCAAATTATGATAGCAGCCTAAAGAACATGAGGAATCATACTATGATTTTTGAACTGGTTCTGGTTAAAAAGAAATCTAAGGAAGATCAAATGGAACTAAGTGTTTCTTCAGTGCAGACACTAAACCAATAAAGCCCACAAAACACAAAGTTCATCATACTCAAGCATATGAGGAATTCAAAGTTCCCACAGAATCTAGTTGTAAAACATCCTTCCCTTTTCAGTTATTTTGCCTCAAATTAAAGTGTATTAGGACACTTGGTGCCAACTTGTACCAACAGTGTGTAACACTGGCCAAAAAAATAGATGTTTATCTGAGGCTCTGAAGACCTGTCTGCCTGCATGCATCAAGACAGGTCAGAAGTACAGTGATGGTGTCACAGACATTCTTGTGTCACCACGGGAGGCCAACTTAGTGCTAGTTAAGGAAATGCAAGGCAATGACTAAAGGGCCAAACTTAGGAAAAGATAAAGTGAATAAGAGGCAGCTCACTCAGTTGAAGGGATAACTCCAGCTTATAGGGCCAAGTTGACACCATGAACAGGAATTGTTTCAAGAGAAATTCAGCCACTTTTTATTCCTATTTCTGAGGAAGCATTTTTGTTACAATGCCCCAGTGGGAGGTGAAGGGTGTTCTATGACAAGCTCTTCTCTGCAGACAGCAGATTGTGTCCACCTACATTTTGGTGCAGGACAGGCCTGGGTGTTGGACCCTCCCAGAAGGACTTCTCTCTTGATGTTACCCGGTTACACTTTCCCATGCCAAGCCCTAGAGTATAATGTGCTCAAAGGAGTAAGATCAGAGAAAGGAGAAGCAACCCAGTTTGGCACACTATAGATCAGTACAAAATGCCAGCCCAACACACGTCCCCCTTTAATAGGAGGATTGTCTTTAAACAGAAGGCATTTGAAAACCAAATAGGAGATCTCTGGCCTCTCCAAATTGTAGAGAGGCAAAACAAATCTACAAAGATGTACCTCTGCCCTGCTTTACTAGGAAAGACAAAGGCTCATCTACAAAGACAACCTTATACCTGTCACAATCTGGAATCAGGATAATAAACTTACTACCCACCTTGCATCATAAGTTTGCTTTCCCACAATTTGTGACCCCTCTAGACCCAAGGTCTTTTTGAATACTTTTTTTGCTTCTAAAACTGTTTGTTCTATATACTACAGATAAACTGTAGTGGTAAGCCACCTGCTTCAGATTTATCCTTTTTCTAAGAAATTCCTAAGTGAATGTGAAATATTCTTATACATCTTTGTGTTCCCTCTTTTAAAAGCTTCTTTGTTAACTTTACTCAACTCTGGACAGAAGTCATAAGAGTAGTGGTAGTTACCTAGATTTTTCTTCCTTTCTCAAACAACACGCTGTCTTTATCAAATGACACACAAGCTGCTAAATCAATATGCAATGAGAAGATCCAGAGATGTGGGATCATTTCAGAGTGGTGTTGGCCTATGCACAGGCTTCCCATCTCTTAGAAGTCTCTACACTTAATGCCCTTGCATTTGTAGTAGTCTGACATGACTTTATGTTACTCAGTTCTTTAATCTTGGAAACGGAAGGAATCAGTTTCATAAATACATCTTTACAGAAGATCTATTTGGTTGTAACAATTCAAGTGCTCTCTGCCATAGGTCACAAGCACTGAGTTTGTTTGGCTTGCATAAAAAGAGGATTCATAGGGTCAAAAATTAAGCAGAAAAAAAAAATTCAGTGTAGACTCCACATGAGGTTGGTTCAAGTGGCCTTATTTCACCAAGAACCGATTTGTTTCTATCTTCTCTACAATTCCTATGTCAGATTAGTTCTTAGAGTCCACGTGGAGGCTCTCTAGCACCCTTTCCACAGGTATTTTCAGGCCCTTATTTTGTAAGTACTCTGCATCTCATGGTCTTCGGATGTTTTTGAAAGATTTTTACAAATGACAATTTCCAAGTCAAGCAATGTTGTCTTGGGTTTTAGTGACATGCCCATCTCAACTGCACACCTGTCCATGAACTATTCACATCAGCCCTGGCTACTTAGGGTAAGGACACGGAATACTGTAAATAAGCCCAATCAGTCACATCTACAACTGATAATGATCAAGGATAGAAGTGCAAAGGGGGAAAAAAATCACTCCACAAGATCATCAGACGTACGTACGACTGGAAATATGGAAAAGAGCTATTTAGAAAGCAGCTGACAATTGTCATCTAGAAGACATGGATATGCAATCACCAGGACTTCCAAGTTTACACTAACTTTCTCACAGGCACTTCCCCCTCAAAGTCCCAAGTACACCTTCAACTTTACTTATTGATCACATGGAGCCACTCAACATGGCCTAACTGGTAAAACCAACAAGATTGTTAAAATCTTTATTTAGCTATTCTGTGTTAGTTGGCTCAAAAACAGTTCAGACCACTGGTCTATTTCTGAGATCACTGGTGAGACCACACTTAAATAGCTCTTTCAGGCAGATTTCAAAGGTTTCTGAGGAAACTTCCTCCTCACTATCTGTACCCCCAAAACTGTCCCCTTAAGAGAATCTACGATACATAGGGCATACAGTGATGATTTCATTGCACTCCCGATGTGTTTCCAGACCAAACTTCAGGCTACTTCACCAGTTTTATAAAGACTTGCTGATTTGCAGCCTACAACACATAGAAATTAGGTATATGGATATTAAGATTTTTAAATACTGTGCTGAGATTAGAAACCATTTCAGCAAATGATTTTCTTTCCTCCATAAGATCTAGTGTTAACAATATCATGTCCATACCCTACTATGCCTTACCCAGACATAAGTGGGTTTTCAACCCTTTTTGTGGGGAAATAAGATCCATATTCAATCTATAATTATCAAATAGAGCTTTGGCAGCACAGAAAAGCGGTCTACTCAGCCTGCTGTAGGGAGAGCAAAATTGACTTGCAGTTGTGGCAGGGTTTCAAAGACAGGCTCATTTTTCCAAGACCTCTCCCCACAAGCTACACTGAGTTAGTCTCCCTGCGAGCCCTCCCATACTCCCATGACATGGCCCAGCAAGTTCATGCTCTGTATCTTCATTTTCTGCTTTGGGAGATTAAGGGTCTCATGAGACTCCTCTTTTTAAGATATTTACTTCAGTAAGTTTCTACATGTCTAATCCTGATTTGGAATTACCTTCTCATAGGACCCAATCCAAGCCAAGAATTTACTGGTTTTTCTCCAAACCTGACTCACTCCCCAAGAACTCAGGAAAGCATTTATATTTCTAACCTCAAAGTCAGGGTTCCCTTCCCATGATCAAGCTACTGCTGGTTATCAATTCTAATCAGATCTCTGCTTTATGCCAAATGCTATCCAAGCAGAGCTGGCCTAGGAACTCACAATTTGATGCAAAGACGAAATCACTAGGTTTTCAAGAAGCATGGGATCAGCAGAGTGAAGATGCATACAGTTGTAAGGGACATAGAAATGGGGTGTGCTGTATCCCATTATCTGGAGATGTTCTTCCACAGGAAAGTATGCCTGCTTGCTGATATCAGAGACAGGACTAATATAAGGACTGGCAAGCAGCAATAGCTCAGAAATACAGGACAACAAACAGGATTCAAATAACTTGCATGCTTTCCAGTAACACCTCACATGCCTCATCTCTGACCTACTTCCTCAACCCTGTCGCTGTTGCTGTTCTTGCCTCTTCCTTCGCTGGGAGGAAGCCCAGACTCCAAAATGCTATCACGCGTGCAGGGCTATTATCAGACTCCAGAATTCAAAACCGACACTGTCCTCAACAACCTGGCTTCCTGCATCAAACAGGCCAGACCCACACATGCGACTAGCTCTGGGAAGCAGATCTGTGTAGCACACAGGGAGGAAAAAAGGATCTTCTGTGAAGTGGACTAGAAACTGACCACCTCTTTAAGGCTGCTCACGATCACGGGAATATGCTACACATAGCCAGGGCCCAAAGGAGAGGTCTGCTGAGGAATACAGAGACTGAGTCTGTACACAGAAGCCCCAGCCCATGGAACCCAGAGCGGAATCTCCATGAAATGCTGAACAAATTCCAAGTGAATAATGGTGTGGTTCAGAGATAGGCCAGTCACTGTGTGCACCTTTCTGTGGATGACAGGAGGATAGTATTTGGAGATGACAATCACGGTGTGCTGCCAGAGACCCAGACAATGGACACTGAAGCCTTTACGTCCTGGCAGCATTACTGGGAGGTGGACATGGCCCATGCTTCCCACTGGATTCTGTGTTTGTAAAAATGCCAGTACAGGTATTGATCCATACAACATTATTGATTTCAATGAAGCATTTCTTTTATTTTTCATTGAAGAAGAACAATTATAGACTTTCCACCAACTCCCCATACTTCACTTTTTATCTTCAAAGGCCTGTGGGTCAGGTTCGAGTATTTCTGGACTATGGCAATGAGTCTGTGAGCTTCTGTGATATTTTCAATGCTTCCCTCATAGATAGCTTCCCTTTTACCTCCTTCCCCTGAGCTATCCTTTGCCTCACTTGCCCAACAAATGTCAAGTTTCATGAATCTTCATTGATGAACATCCACATCTGAGAAAACTGGTCCAGAGAGCTTTTGTGAGGAACAGGACTCTGCCTTACATCTGTGGGCACACTGGAGTTTAAGGAAGCATCACCACTGTGGGGTCATAAAATGGGATAACTGCACTGAATGTGTCCCTTTATATTTCACTTTAATAAAGTAAAAAAGAACTGCAAAGATGAACTCAAGATCCAGAAGGATTCAACAAAAAAGAATAAGATTGTCAGCCAGAGTCAACAAGTAAGGCATTGTTCTAATGAACCTTTCCCTTGGAATCCACTAGAGAACAAGTTTCAGTACTAACAAAAGTGATGGTTGAGACACCAACATTGAGACTAGTCTCTCTGTGAGGAGAGAACCCTTGAAGGTACAGCACACACAGCAGAGTAAATGAAAGGTTTACATACACATCTGTGTCCTCCTCCCCTCCCTGGGCCAACTAAGCTGGCTCAAGAGCACATGAGATATTGATTCCTCATTGTCTCAGCTTGTGGCATTACAGGCCAGACAGTATCTGAACACACCAGGGACGGATGGCCTCTGTCAACATGTCCAAGTATCTCACATACTTCCAAGTTTCCCCGTTATCAAGTCATCACCCTCACTTGAGGGAAGGACTCACGTACCCTTATCAGAATGGTGCACTCAGGTATATTCCCGACTCACAATCCCACATTCTGTAGCCATTTAAAAGCCTCTGCTGACCCAAACTGTTCTGAGACCAAGAAAGATACCCAGGTACTTTGCGGATGCTTGAAGTCAGGACTTCTATGTCCAAAGCATCTCAGATTACATCTGTTGGGGTCCATATAATGAAGTGAAAATGCATACCGACACCCTGACTGAGGCCAAGGACCTGCCATCTGCCTAGTGGCATGCATGGAAAAGGACTACAAAGTTAAGAACATAGAGTGGAGGTAGGACAATTTGCTCATTTTCATGTGTTTACACCAACCACAAGAAGCACTCTGAAACCAGATAAAAGCATCGCCATGTATCTGCCAACCTTCACCAGCAGCTAATGGAAAATACCATGATCATGGTGGCAGGGGAGAAGAAACTATGCACCGCAGAATATGGAATGCCACATTTTAAAGGAATTCTCACCTACTGCTGCCACTAAATATCCAGCTGGATAAGACAAACACTGAATCTCAAATGACATCATTTATCATGGAGACCAAATTGCTAATTGTAGTTGACTATGCCAAACTCTTTCTACTTTGAAACCTGAGGTACAAGCTCACAAGGATAGGTACCTAAGCTTGGTACTGGTATGTAGATGTGTCTTGCCTGCATGCAAAGTCCCACCATGATACTCTGGAGTCTTCAGCTATGGTTGTCCCCAACACAGAACTCCTTATGGAAAAGAATCTAACAGCCCAAGTTACTGGAAAAAGTACAGTGGGACCCTGACCAGAAAGTCTATTCATCATGTCAAACACCATTCACAAGTAGATAAACTCACAGAAAGCCAAGCCAGCCTTCAACAACACAGAACTCCTTTGTCAATATGCTGAAAGTTTGAGATCCCCATTTCATAATGGATTAGTCCATTTCAAAGGCATTTACATGTTTCCTCAATTGGAAGCCTACATGGGTGCCAAACCCAAGTGGTAAAATCAAGAATGGATCCCATGTGCCACTCCAGATGGGACTCTGGTCACTTCATGATTAGATTAATAGAGGGATAACAGACTGATCAGAAAGAAAATTGAGCTAGGTTTTTTTCTTGGAGAATATGGAAACTCGAGGAACACTATTTGTCTTCCCTTTGGATTTTCCCACCACGTTTTTAACTTGGGCATATTCTGAGACCTCAGAAATGTTCAGAGGACTCAGAATCCCTTAGGATGAAAGTTGGGTCCTACAAGGTACACACCAACCCTCAACCAAGATAAGTTAGACAGTACTTAGTCTAGATAAGGCAGGCATCAGATGATGGGTGTCAATGAGGACTCAAGGTCAACTCCAAGGACAATGCCACTTTATTCCACTAACATCATCTTTTGAGTTCCTCTCAGAAGAGATCTATGGGGCAAGGAGTTGCTGCTCTGCTGCCGAGTGCACACCAAGTGGATCTATGCAGAATGGAGACCAACTGGAACTGGCCACTCAATGTCACACTTCCAGAGCGAGTTCTCCAACTGAGGCCCGAGTGCTGCTAAATGCTAAGGCAACCCCATTTCAGACAAATGAGATGGATGGGTCATTTGGGCTGCTACTTGCCATTGGCCTTGCCGAATACTGAGCATTGCCTTCCAGACAGAGCACTTAACATCTCTTTTCTTTCCTTCAGAGCGTCACACTTGGATTGTGGTTTGATCCTCTCTACCATCCCCACAGGTCCCCCTTCAATTTCCTGCACAAGATGTTTCCCCCTTGCTTCACCTCCACCATGATTTTGATAAGTATGTCATTGACTGTACTGAAAAGTTCTTACTACCCATGAACCACTAACACTGTAAAACCACAGAAGCATCCTGCTTTCACAACTTTGTCTTGCACCAGCATTGAGGCTTCTTGCCAAACACTTTAAGTCCATCGTGATGGTTATGAGCTTTCTTCTCCATCCAGTGAATTACTTCTTGTACCTTCATGTGGAGAGTATACCAGGGACCCATACCTCCCTACTAATCACAAAGTAGAACAATATTGAAAATTGCCATTTTGACAAGGACAATCTGGCTCGTCAGTTTTCAGAGCAAGGGTTTGAAGTCAGATGCTTTCACAGTCTTCAAGTGGAAGAGTTAGTGAACAAGATTCACGAGGGTAGGTTGGGAGCAGCAGCACTACCCACCCATATCCCTTTGGATATGGTGGATTATTAGTTCCCAGACACCCAGGATCACCGAGGTGGTCCTGGCCTTGGTGCACACCTTCTCCCACCCTCTCCACAGGGCAAACTTCCTCATGTGCTACTGAAATGGAAAAAAACAAAAGACAAAGCAGAGACCAATAGTCTCAAAGCTTGACAGATACTGAAGTCTCAAGGCTGACAGTCTCCTGCTAGACCCACAAAGATCACTGAGCCTGAAAGATGAACTGCTGAATCAACAGCTGCCTGTACCTCCCTATATCCTAAAGATCAACTGCAAAAGCAACATTTGTCTCCACCTCCTTACCCTTTGCTAAATTCTGCTCTGTAAAATTCTGCTTGCTTCCCTGCCCTGCTGAAAGAACAAGTTAAAAATGAGAAGAAACTTAGAAACAGGGCTCAGACTGAGCCCACTCTGAGCTCACTGGGCTTGCTGGCAAGTAAACCCACTTCCTTGGTCTGCCTGCCTTCCCAGTGCCATTTTATGCTACCCAGTGGCAGAAGGATATTCTGAGAAACGGTGTACAGCTCGTGGTACACCTAACATTCATGCGAGATGTTAAAGAAATACAAGTCCATGCTGGAGTTCACAGAGCCACTCATGCTGGTGAACAGGAAACGTTTCCCAGTGCCACATCAAGGTCTACAAAGACCCTAAGAGTGCTATGAGCAAAAATCAGGTGCCATGCTTCAAAAAAGCTGCACTTTCTGCCAAAACCAGCAACAAGGAAGGCACTGTCACTCTTTAGCCCATGCATTTCCCTTTTTATATGAAATACACTGCCCTGGCTTCAGCTTCTGTGTAAGGTCCAGTCATGTCAGATGTGCCCCACTTTCATCCCCAGTTGAGACATGTTTTGTTTTTCAATATTTTCATGTTAAAAACCTTGAATGGGCCAGGGATTTAGCTCAGTGGTTCTGCTGCCTGCCTCACAAGTGCAAGGACCCAAGTTCTATCCCTGGTACAAAAAAAAAAAAAAAAAAAAGTCTTGAAAAATACTCAGCAAATTACCTACTCCACAAACATTTGGTGATTTTTTAATGTAAGTTACAAGGTGCCCCAAAATACCTAGATGCTTCAGCTTGTACTCTGTGCCTTTTTATAAAAGCATACTTTGTAATATTTTTAAAGACTTGAAATCCAAGAATTTGATCTTAATTTCCCTTTAATAGGATATTTGAAAAATCACACTATTAAATTTTTCTAACTCATTTAGTTTTCTATACCTCTTACTTGGTCATATATGTTTACTATCTCATGAATAAACAATACTTTATGTGTGACACTAATACTACCATGACTTAAGATTACTAATTCACATATAATATTCCCTAAATAGAACAGGTGAGTTCCACATTTTGTTCATTTTACATGTATGGAAAAGAAGCAAACTCAAATATCTTAGGTAGATGTGCACAATACATTTGCAAGGCAAAAACCTGGCAACGTGTCCACTGGCTTAAATCACCAAGTCAAATTATCCAAGTCAGAAGTTATTAAGGCTGAAAAATAGTCTTGTATGTTAAGAATTATGTGCTCTGGGGAAAAAGGCAGAAAATTGACTCTTAGGTCTTCATAGTGCACATTTTATTATGTGTGCACAAGGAACAGCAATTTCTAAAATCAGTGTGCTAAGGGGAGAAACTGCACATGGAATTACCACCTTTTCTTCACTTACCTACTTGTGTTCAGCTGCAGAAGCTCCCACTTAGAACTACTGAAATAATCTCTCAGAAGGTAGATTATTTGATAGAAGGAATGGCAGTTTCCTCTTAGTAAAACAAATGGTAATTTGAGGTACTATTGATACATTTTTTATGTGAGCCTCTCCATGTCCAACCATGACACAGAAGACACCGAGGTCTGGTATCACCACCTGCACCACCACCACCCACACATTTCCTGGCCCAGTAGCAAAAAGCATGCAGGATGTGAGCAGACCAGAGGTCAGCTATCAGAAAAACCATGGAGCTGACTATGGTGCCTATCTGCCAGCAGTCATGAATGTACCCTTTTCTAGTATTGTAGTCCCATGGGTTCATCATTCAAACCTTGTCCTCCTGCATACACTGGGGCACAAAACATGTGCAGGGGTGGACTCTTTCAGGCAGGAAGCAAGAA